ACGAAGACAGTTTTGCCAATTTTTATCATTCACATGATATATTAAGCATACAGCGCACTCCAGTGTTTTTGCATCAGTATTGTGCCCATCAATTTGGATGAAAGTCAAATATAACTTGGGGAAGGTTTTTGGTAGTAACGTAATATCTGTCCTTGTTGAATTACAAAAGGTTGTACTGTGTTCTGTTCTTCTTCAGGAAATGTGATAATGTGATTATAAAAGCCAAAATGCTAGGTTCCCGAATATTGCCAAATTCAGTGTGGTATGTCAAAATGACAAACATTCTTCCGATCAAATCATGACTTATTGTCAAAGAGTTGTTCAAGAAATCATTCAGCAGAAATACTAAGCCAAACAACTAACCAAGAGGCATAATCACCCATCGTCTCTACATTTTCAGCATTCGCATTGCTGTGAACATAGCTCCAAGTGACGACCAAATCATCATGGCGATGCAAGTTATACAGAAAGTAGCCTCGGAGGTCCTGCAGAACGAGGTGTAAGAATTGCACTGTAAATCAACACTGGAGGGGTACAGTTTAGGCAAGGACACAAGGGTCTCTGGAATGAAGGAACCACACTAGTAGCTCTTGTTGTGTCTGTAAGTAAACGGCAACCTCCACCTCAAGCTGACCTAATTGGTCTAGCTGGTACTCTTCACTGGCTCACGTGTGAATACTGAGAATATGCCTATCACCCTCCGGTCGAGTACCGGTCTGTCCCAGATTGCTCAAAAGTTCTATTTTACAAGTACTCTTCCGTGTTTGTGTGTGTCAAAGTGCTTGAGTGCAAAGGTCACAAGTGGCATTGACCATCTTGTTACCTGACTACCTCATACATTTTTCCTCAACTGAATCATGATTTTTAAGGATAATTGAAAAAGAAAATGGGAAAAAAAAGGCTAAAACATTTTCTGAAGTAAAGTAGAGAAGATGTCGGCTAATTAAATAAGTAGTTTTAAAAACCTCCACAATCATAACCTCGAGTCCACTGAAATTTGACTGCTTGGTTTGGATCGGTTTGGGTCGTGTGATTGTTGAGCCCCAATGGGGCTTTGTCAGAGGGGCACTTTTGTCCCAATTTTGGCCAAGTGTAAAGAAGTTGCCCTATATCATATAGGGGTAACACACAGCATTGCTGAATGAGCCATTTGGGCATTTCCAAGAGCATATTTACAACGCAAAACACGCCGTGGGTCATTCTAAACGTGCACAAGGGTCAGTCCCATAAGCATAGCCATATGCTGCCTTGTACACTGGTGATATCAGGTGCCGTGTTCTGGAATGACCCGTCCTTTTTGAGATACTGAACTGGCCCATTCTGGGACTTGCAAGCAACAAATGACCATGGATTACAGTTGATGGCCATAGAAATTGACTTACATTCGTAACTCTCTGGAATCTGTGGCAAACCCAATAGAAATAATAAAATGCTTATCTGTACTTGCGTCAGATATTCTGTATTTGCCTGTCAAATATTCTATATTTGCCAGTCATATATCCCGTGTTTGTATGTCAAATATTCTGTATTTGACATGAGTGTAGTCTGTCGAGTGGAGCTTTCATAAACTCATTTTCCTGGAAATGGAATGGTAATGACTTCGCTGATTTTATAAGTAAAATCACTGAGTGAATTTGGTTTCTGCCAGGATTTGAGGTAGAATTTTGAGATACGTTAGATAGGCTGTTGCTGGTGATTATGATTTGCATAAATGCAGATTTATTGCTCTAATGCAGTGATGTCACAGAACAGCAGATAATTATATGTAGTGGTTTAACTTGAGATTGTACTCGAGAGGGATTAGTCTTGTTAGATTAGTTTTCAAAGCTTTTTTTAACCCACATTTAATGTGTTTGTAATATTTTTATTTTATTCCATGAGTGGTAGGTTTCATTTTGTGGCGATATTTTACAAACTCGGGTTATTTGAAGTTGCACTTACAACTGTCCAATTTTTCTAATCATGTCAAAGCATTTTGTGTGGTGTTTTAATCTGTAACAACTTATTTTATGCCTTTGTTTTCTGCGGGAAGTATTGTGGGTACAGTGTCGCAGACCTGGTGATGTAATTGAATTCTTTTCCAAGATCCCGTGTGAACTGGAATATCCCTTTGTAACTATCATTCAGCACATGTTGCAAGAGTGCTAATCATTATAGACCTCTGTCAAGAGGCAGCCATATTGCTTTTCCACCATTCAAAGCAATGTAACCAAACTGAGGCTGGAAAGAAAAACAGACTGCTCCCTTTCATCAATATTTGAAATTTATTGCTATTACCAGGGGGTTTTCAGGTAACAAGACAATCAAGGCAGCATCATAATGAAGGTCTATAGGTTGAGACTATCCCCGTTTGGATATAACCAGCATCTTATTGATCAGATTATGAATTGTCTTCTCTGTTTGGAATGTCAATTTTGCTGGGAGCAAAAGTAATGAAATTTTTGAGAAGTAAGCAAGGTGATCATGGCAGCTGGCAGCAAATTGAATCCTGCAGTTGTCTCTCCTCAAGCATTGCGCATTACGAGGAGTCTGTTAACGATTACAGCATTCTTTTATAATGTTAACTGCAGAGGAAGACTTAAGGAGTCAGACACATTTCACTATCTTTGCGTCACTCCGTGAGATTTATTTCTTGAATGGGTCACTGTAAATTCTTGGTTTCTGCAAGGTCTTCATATTTCAACAATGCTTCTTTCGCATTGTGTTTGGTCATGAAAATAGCCAGAGCCGAGTATCACAAGTTATGATACGATAACGATATTGATTTAACGGTTCGCAAAAGGCTAAACTTGAAGTGAAGTTACATTCTGCCTCCATTATTGCAGTACAATAAATTAGCATAACAGATCAGTAGTCTGAACAGGAAATAGGTCTTAAACTGGATGTTTTGTACTCAAATATGTGGATGCCCCAAGTCACACAATCTCTGGCCAGTGATTTGAATTAACTTCTGTGTTAAGTTGCTTGGCCATTATAATTCCCGACTTTTGATAAGGTCTCAAGATATCTAACATCTGTAGCCCGATGTAATGTGGAAAAAGTCACATTTCAGGCAATCCATAAAAATATCTAGTAGCCTACCTGCTACACTCCTTAACTCAATGGAATTTTTCCATGCAGAGCAATGACTGTTTTCACAGAGCATGAACAAATTTGTATCAAATAAAACATCCGTGTATTCATTTGACAGTGACTTAAGGAAGACTTTTTGTCACTGTTTTAATCAGGGGTTTTTGTTTTAATTTAGCACATTTATGATACATTTGTAACATAATTTGGAAGCTCTTGTAATACTCACTGAACTGCATGCCTATCTGTGAACTATTTATTACAATAATAAAGAGATTTGTAAAGAGATCATGAAATGTGAATTCTATTTATTAGTTTAAAGTGGTCTTTATCTTTTCTCTAGAACTTACAAATATTTGTTGAATACAGTGTGTTCTGAACTGAAGTTGTTATAGTTCTTATAAAAATAGACTTTATGTAAGAGCAGAAAGGTTATTTTTATTTACAGGTTACTTATTTCTCATGACAAAAATAAGCACATAAGTCATGTAGTGTGTTCCTTATGAAAGCCACGTTGTGATAGGTTGAGCACTACCTCCCTTGTGCAATTTCCACCAACCAGGTGACAGCTTCTACCACTCCCGACAAGTCAGACACGTCAACATCGAACATCTGTGAAGAGTGTCAAATGAAATGATGTAGATAAAGTAAATGGTATTTAACACTTGCTTAGCCAGATCCTCCAGAATGTTTTTATCTTTGAATAAAGTCAGTGGCAAGGGCTATAATGAAGCACATTAATAATCGGAAGAGGTGTAAAGAACTTTTAACCCCTTTGCGCCAGGACGCGGCTAGAGCCGCCGTAAAAATTGAGATCCTCAGCCCGCTTTTCAGCTATTATTCTCGGCCCACGCTCGAGTGAACACGGTGAAAGAAGGCTGACCCTTGCTCTTGCAT